GCTTCGCGCAGCTGGCGTCGAGCCCATCGTCGACCTCCCCGGAGTCGGTCTGAACTTCCAGGACCACTACCTCACATTCTCCGTCTACCGCGCAAAGCCTGGCGTCGAGAGTTTTGACGACTTTGTCCGTGGCGATCCTGAGGTCCAGAAGCGTAAGTGAAGTCAATCACTTTTTCCCACATGTATACTCACCGCGTGCCAGGTGTCTTCGATGAATGGAACATCAAGGGAACTGGCCCCCTCGCCACCAACGGTATCGACGCCGGCGTCAAGATCCGGCCGACTGCCGAGGAGCTGAAGGAGTTCGAGAGATGGCCTACCCCGCACTTCAAGGATGGCTGGAAGTCGTACTTTGAGAACAAGCCCGACAAGCCAGTGATGCACTACTCGGTCATTGCTGGTTGGTTCGGTGACCACATGGTCATGTAAGTTGCATAATCAGCCCAAAGACTTCCCATACTGACAAGACCACAGGCCCCCTGGCAAGTTCTTCACCATGTTCCACTTCCTCGAGTATCCCTTCTCTCGTGGATCCACCCACATCACCTCGCCCAACCCGTACGACGCCCCCGACTTCGACGCCGGCTTCATGAACGATGAGCGCGACATGGTTCCCATGGTCTGGGGTTACATCAAGTCTCGCGAGACCGCTCGCCGCATGGACGCGTACGCCGGAGAGGTCGCTAACATGCACCCCTTCTTCGCGTACGACTCCTCTGCCCGCGCCAGAGATCTGGACCTGCCAACCACCAACCAGTACGCCCTTGCCGGTAACCTGTCGGCGGGTATCCAGCACGGCAGCTGGACCCAGCCCCTCAATGAGGCAGACCGGAAGAGCGACATCAAGAAGACCTTGTCTAGCAACCGCGTTGAACTTCGCGACGACTTGAAGTACAGCGATGACGACATCAAGGCTGTCGAGGAATGGGTCAAGCGCCACGTTGAGACCACCTGGCACAGCCTCGGAGTAAGTACAATGGTTCTTCGCACAGATTCACGCAAGCTGACATGGGATATAGACCTGTTCCATGGCCCCCAGAGAGGGCAACAGCATCGTCAAGCACGGTGTTCTGGACGAGCGCCTGAACGTTCACGGCGTCAAGGGCCTCAAGGTCGCCGATCTTTCCATCTGTCCCGACAACGTCGGCTGCAACACCTACTCGACCGCTCTGCTCATTGGCGAGAAGGCTGCCACGCTCGTCGCCGAGGATCTTGGCTACTCTGGCGCTGCCCTGGAGATGAGGGTGCCCAACTACCACGCGCCCGGAGAGTTTATCCAACCCACCGCCCGCCTCTAATTTGTGACGGCATGACCTTTTCCTTCCTGTCACTACCTCCTTTACTTGGATGTATGTTAGGAGATCAGAATGCCTCGTGTCAAGTGTATTAGTTGAGCTACTTGCTGTTAGCCTATTTTCAAATGAATTATGGTGCTAGTATAGCCACAAGCCGATGATTAGTGAATCTACTCGCAGATCGGACTATTTGTCATACGGGAATGAGGAATCTGCGGCGACTGTGTATTTCGTCCTAGGGCTGTCTCAATCGATGGCGGGATTGCGTGCATTACTCTTTTGATCGATCCGAACTTGGACTCCGAACACCATAGAATAATTCTAGAACGATTCTGTAATTGCAAGTTCCGTTGAGCCGCGAAGCTTATCCCAAATGTCGGCACAGACGGCCGGTTCTGTGGAACCATGGCGTAGTTCGGATCATGAGCTACAGGTTACGTCATGACCCCTGACCTTGATGATCGCCGGACACTGGTTCGAGAACTACTCTCATATTACGATGTTAAAGCCGGCATTAAAACAGGCGAATCGTTACTCCCCAAGCTTTCGAAAGTCGAATAGTCGCGAAGTACAAGTTTGATAATATCAAAGTCGTCATGTCGGACCCCAACTCTCCTCATATCAAGAACCGCGACACGCCATCATGGGGATTGTACCAGCGCGAGAACTTCTGGAAGTTGAACGACGAAGAGGTTCCTCTTTTCAGTACCCGTAAGTTTGTAGACGCGCGATTGATTACACAAGCTAACGTCGCCTAGATCCTGACAAGTTGGAAGAACTTGCACAAAAGAAGTTGACCCAGAACGGCTGGTACATCTCACTCCCTTCCTATGCTGAATGATATGATCTAACAACCCCAGGTTCTATGCCTCATCAAACGCAGGGCTCTCCCATACCCATCTCGCAAACCGCCAGGCCTTCTTCCGGCACAAGATCGTGCCTCGTCAGCTGGCCGACACCAACGAGCGCTCCACGCGCACCAAGATCTTTGGCCATGAGGTTTCCGCCCCGTTCGGAATCGCTCCCGTTGGCATCAACAAGATCTACCACCCCCAGGGCGAGGTTCCCGTAGCCAAAGTTGCAGGCGAGCTGGGGATTCCGTATAGCCTGTCAACGGCGGGATCTTGCACCATTGAGGAGGTCGCGCAGGCGAATGATGCAGGGCACGAGTCTGCGATCAACGCACAGTCGGCGGACAAGTCAAAGATTCCACAGGGGCCACGGTTCTTTCAGCTATACATGCCACACGATGATGAGCTGACAATTTCGTTGCTGAAGAGAGCGCATGAGAGCGGTTTCACGGCGTGCATTCTCACAACGGACACCTGGCAGCTCGGCTGGCGGCATGACGATGTCGCCACGTCAAACTATGCCTTCTACCGCGGCATCGGCGCGGACCTGGGACTCGCAGACCCTGTCTTCCAGAAACGAATGGCCGAGAAGGGCATCGATCCAAAGACCCAACCCGAGCAGGCCGCTGCGTTCTGGATCGACAATGTCTGGCACGGTCGGGCATGGAGCTGGGAGAAGGCCGTGTGGGCCAGGGAGAAGTGGCAGGAGATCAGTGGGGGCAAGCCGTTCCTCATCAAGGGCATCCAGAGAGTCGACGACGCGGAGAAGGCTGCTGATCTCGGATTCGAGGGCATTGTCGTGAGCAACCATGCCGGACGCCAGGTTGACGGCGCCATTGCCAGTCTTGATGCGCTCGAGAAGATTGCGGAGAAGGTGGGTGATCGGATTGTTGTCACATTTGATAGCGGAGTGAGGGGTGCGGCGGACGTTGTCAAAGCACTCGCTTTGGGAGCCAAGTTCGTCTTCATCGGACGGCTCTGGATTTGGGGGCTGAGCATCATGGGAGAGCATGGGGTTAGACACGTGTTGAGGGGGCTGTTGGCTGACTTGGATATCTTGATGAACGTTACCGGAATAAGGAGCGTTGATGAGATTGATAAGGATCTGTTGGAGTCTTTGCCCAAGTCTTACACTCTCATCTCTGAGAAGAGTAAGTTGTGAATCGTCAAAGTCAGGGGAGGGCACCATATGTAAGAAATAGAGAAGATTGGCCGCTTCAAATGCAGCATTTCTTTTTAGCCGCAGCAGTAAAGGAGTATGTACACTTAATCCAAAGCCTTCTACACGAAAGAGATGACGGATTGGTGGAGCCTCGCCTGGCCTCCTAAGCGCAATAGCAGGTGTCGTCGAAGCAGTCGTATTGTCTGGTTCCGCACTATCAAGGCATAACGTTAGCGACAGAACCATGCAAATAGCGAGATCGTGGTTCACGTACCTGCTTGATGCACTCGTTCACTTTGGCAAGACTGCAAGACGCCTGAGGAACAGGGTTGGGGGCGGCCATGGCGAGTGACACAGCGGCGAGAACGGCAAAGAAGCTGAGCTGCATGGTTGCGGTGGTAAGATGGACAAGTAGATTTTCTTGGGGTATTTGCAAGCGGAGTTTGAAGTGGTTTGTCCGTGAGCTGTTGAGGTGAGTTCCAGCTGTGGTGCGATCTCAGACAGCTTCTTATATTCTTCACGGTGAGTCCGCCCAGCTCGGTCTCGCGACTAAGCCGTCAGACCTCGCCATGCATACGTATAACTTCGGTACCGACTGTTTCCTCATACGGAAACCCGAATCTTTGCCAACCATGTTAGGAGTCTGATTGATTTGCGGGTTTGCATCTCGAAGCTATGTCCTCGTAATCAGGTTCGAAAGTCTATTAGATTGTAAAGAATAAAGTATGGTCTTGGCGTCTCTGTGGGGACATTTGGTCTGATATTCGCCCAATCTGTCGACGCACTCCGTTTCATGTAAAATCTGCCCACCAATTTGCTAACAACGTGCTGAACAACGTGCTGAGCAGTTCATCCGCGATCGCCGTTTCATTTGATTCTGACGTCTCAAACATCAGAAACCGCGACCGTGGTGCCGGTGTTTGTCTGATCAATACCCCTTCTGCCCATGGGGCAAGTCGACTATGAGACCAACATGTGGGAAAGGATATCCAAATCATGACTTGGCGACTCTATCACCGTCTCATGTTCCGAGTGGATCGTAATCAGTCTCTGCCGATAAATTGACGTCTCAAATGAGCAGGACTCGCAGCGGATATCTTGGATAGACCAAAGCTGGCATTTGCTTACATGCCAAGACCTAAGCCGCAGGAGACCTACTAACTGAGGTGATATTGAGCCGACGTCTTGGATTGAAGTTCTGTTCGCCGGCTTGACGGAAGATCTTTCGTTACCGACACTTTCATGGGATCCCTGTCATAGTTCACCATTATGAACACAGAGGAACTTCGATCGAAAGTTTGATAGATTATGAGCTTGATTTTGTCGGACTGGGCATATCCACGTCAACATTTGCGTGGGGGAAGTTCCCCCGAAACTAGCAATAAGTCGACTAAACTTGCTTCATGAGGATTTCTTCGCCGAAGTCATGACTTGGTTATTGATACACGTGGCCGCTCAGATCGCGGGCTGTTGCGGGCGCCACTGATTCAGATGAGGTGTGGGGTTCATTGGTGCGACTTCATAGAACAGTCAATCAATTGTCTGCAGGCCAGAATGGTGAGCTTTCACGTACAACTGTCCCCCTCTGAAGAAAGCGCATACACGTCAGAATGAAATTCGATACAAGTGCCAAGACCCCAAATTTGCCGGATTTTCCCTCCCTATTTCCTTCGTCAGATTTCAAGAATCCCTTCATCTCCCCCTACGGCTGTTGCACAAGGGACTCGGAGATCGCGGCGCACCTGTTACCGACAATCCCAGCTTTTGTTCACTGTGGTCTCCATACCCAAGACGCTTTGGATCAGTCGTCTGGTTCCAGATCGGAGTCGTCGGAGTCCGCGAAAAGACTAGGGGCCCAGGAACCACAAGACCGGGCTCACTGGCATTGTCGCCGTCCTCGCTACTCGTTCGGCTGGTATTCATGTACCCAATGGCTACTAGATACTGCAAGCTCTTTCGCAAAGCTCTTCGAACAACAGCTTGATGTTCGTCTTGATCTTCAGCAGTCATTGCACCTAAAGGCTGGCCAAGAATGCCTCTTTTATCCTCAACGAAGTGCATCACCGGCCACATTCTGTGACTCGACCCCTTCCCCTCAACCTCACACTGTAGGGCGTCCAACCAATTCGTTGCGTCTGAAGGTTCTGTGACACGTCCAGTCTCTTTGGCAACGATGTCCCAGTAGTCGCCCAGACTGACGCCGCTCAAGATCTTTTTGGAGACACTGGCGCCACAGTCGGCGGATTGGAGTAGGCAGCTGTCCAGGATAATCTTCGCAACCAGGTCAACACCGGCCGCAGCTATCCACGAGCCGGGGTCCTCGTCAACACGAAGACCAATGTCAAGGGCACTGGCTGTCACACGCCAGAGGAAGTCGTCTGTATTGGAGATCCCATCAGAGGAACTACCCATGATCAGACCTGGCTTCACAATGGAAACAAGAGCCCTATGGCCGGCTTGAGCGAGACGCTGAGCAAAACGCGCCACGAGAATCTCAGAGACAAACTTCGTCTGGCTGTATGCTGGGTACGACTTGAGCTCCTCTGCAACTTCGTTGACATTGTCAGGGGAAGTCGAGAGATGGCCTCCCGAGACATAAGTAAAGCGCACCGGTCGGGTGGCGCATGCCCTCGCGACGGCAGTGAGGAGTTGAACGGTAGATATCGTGTTGGCCGGTATCAGGGCATGATAGTCCGCCATCCAGTTGACAACTGCACCGTTATGAACCACAGCGTCGATCAAGTCATCTTCAGTACCTGACCCGTCCAGTCGAGACCATTGCGTGTCTTCTAGGCCAAGGTGTGGGAGAGACAGATCACCGTGCCAAACTTCGATGCGGCAAGTATATACCTCGCGCCACCAGCTACTGCCACGCGCAAGCGAGAAAAGTCTTTCAGTGGCATGCGCAGCTGTTGAACCTCTCACCAAAGTGACGACCTTGGATACTCCTGGACGCTCTAAGAGCTGGCAGAGAAGCTGATTGCCGAGGAACCCAGTTGCTCCTGTCAAAAATACCGCTTTTGGGCTGAACTTCTCATTCCATGCTGCGTTTTGGGGTCGAAGTGCTGGAAGCGACTTGTCATACTTCTCGATCTCATCCAGAAGCTCGAGCCCGTCGTTCTGTTTGGGAACCTGGCGATCCTCAGCGATCCACCGAGCAATATCCCGAATAGTCGCTGCACTGTTCATGTACTTCTTGATCGGAAGACTTATCCCATAGGTCTTCCGAACAAAGGTAGAAAGTGAGACGACTTGGACGGAGTCCATACCGGCATAGAAGGGGTTGAAATTACTCCCACGCAAGGACTGCTTTCTTTCTGGGTCATTCCTCGACAATAATTCAGCTAACTTGTTGCTGATAGACAAGGCGATGTCTTCATCAGGAAGTAGACTACCTCCAAACTCGAAGTCTCTGCATTCGCCCTCATTTGGAGCAGTACCCAGACCATGCAGAGTATCCAAGTTTGCGGCGTATTCTTTGAGTTTTCGCCGATCGAGCTTCCCAGTCGTACCGAATGGCAGAGACTCAAGACATTGAAAGTGAGCAGGTACCATGTAGATAGGCAGAACGGATAACAGCTCCGTCTTCAGTTGGCTCGCCATATCATCAACAGCGTTCTTACGCTCTGAGAAGTTGTCAAATAGACCGCCAAGCTGAATAAACGCAACCAAATGCTTGCTGGAGGATCTCGAAAGAGACAAGACATCAACGGCTACAAGAGAGCCAGCTGGGAGGATGTCGATGAGTCGATGTTCGATCTCTCCCAGCTCAATTCTTTGACCGCGAAGCTTGATCTGGGTATCTTTGCGTCCGAGGTATGAAACTGAGCCATCTGAGTTGAATCTGCCGAGATCTCCAGTCTTGTACATCCTCCTTGATTCTTCTCCAAAATTGAGATTACTCGTCCACGAGGGGTCGGCGATGAACGACTTGCTAGTTTTCTCCGGGTCCCCTAGATATCCGCGAGCAACACTGGGTCCATCGATCAGGATCTCACCAATGCTTCCAATGGGAAGCAGTCTTTCGTGGGTATCGGGATCCACGATCCAGACATGACAATTTAGACCATGGCCAATACTGTCACCCACAAGGAACTCCACGTTACTCATTCGAGTCACAGTACATACGCTACCCTCGCAGGGCCCATAGGCGTTGATGAGTTGGACGCGACTAGCCCAGGTCTCGATGTTGTCGACGGTCATGGCCTCGCCGCCCATGCAGACTGTCTTCAAGCTTGGCAGGTCGCCAGGATCAAGGGTGCGTGCGAAGGACGGCGTGAAGAAGGCCCAGTCTGCTTGGGATTCTGTCACAAATCCAGCAAGGTTGTTCAGCCTGTCTTCATCAGATGGAATGCAGATACAGGCTCCCAAAACCAGTGCATTGACAATCTCAATGACACTGACATCAAAAACATGAGCTGAAAATTGGAGAATTCTCGAGCCCTTGAACATTTGCATGCCTCCCGACTGAGCATTTGCTGCGGAACAAAGAGTGCGATGTTCTTGCACAACACCTTTCGGCAGCCCCGTACTGCCAGAGGTGAACAGAACTGTGGCAGCATGGTGAGGTCGGACTTCTGCGCTCGAGAAGGCTTCAACGTGCAGCTTGTCCATGTTCTCTAACAGAGCCCGATTCACGGTCACTACTGGAGTGTCTAATCCAGAGAATGAATCTGCTTGAGAGGAAGATACCACGACAACTTTAGCGACAACGCTCTGGACAATGCAAGATTTGCGCTCCAATGGGTAGGCAGGGTCGAGGGGAACCATTGCGCCCCCAGCCTTCAGGATAGCCAGCATAGACACAACAGTGTAGAGAGTCTTTTCGAAGCAATACACCACTTTGCTCTCTGGGCCAACACCCAAATCCACAAGAACTCGAGCCAATTGTGAAGCTTTCTTGTCAAGTTCCGAAAAGCTGAGATATCCATCCCAAGAAAAGATTGCCTGTGCATTTGGTTGGATCTGGGCTTGAGTCTCAAACAATTGATGAACGCAGGCTTCGGTGGTGTAGGGCCGTTTTTGGTTCCAAGCTTGCATCTGCTTGATATCTTCGGCCGAAGGTTGGGCAAAGAATGTCTCGAGACGTGTGGTTTGACTTGCGACTAAGAACTCCAGTGCAGTGTCGAAATAGTCCACCAGTCTGGAAGCTTGGGAATGGTCAAGGTACTCGGTGTCATAGTTGAAGTTGACGTGAACCGAAGTCTCCTGGAGACTGCACTCAACCATGACGGCGTGGGAGTTGAATTTGTCAATGTCTTGTGGTCGCTCAAAAGCAGTGAAAGGGGCACCATCCATGGCCATGTCCACTTCAGGCTGAATGATCATCATGCTCTGAAACTCACAGGCGGCCTTGCATTTGGCATCTATGCGAGATATGTTCTGGATGCCCATCTGCTCGAAGGGGATCATGTCGATAGTGGCCGTCTGAAGCCCGGTGAGAAAATCGATCACGGTCTGACTTCGATCACAATTAACCCGCAACGGAACAGTCGCAATGACTGGACCCATAACGGTCTCGATTCCGTCAAATGAAGCATTCCTTCCCGATGACGTGACCCCAAAGACGGCATTGCTGGACCCGCTGAAGCGGCTGATGACAAGTGCCCAGGCTGCACGCAAGATAGTTGTCGCAGTCACATCCAAGCCGGATGTGGGAAGGGCCATATTACGAAGAACGAATGCTTTCTCTGGATTCGCGTTGGCAGAAACAATGCAAGGCGGCTTCCTTGGGAATTGCTCATACTCTCCTCCCTCAAAGACTGACTTCCAATATTGAGTTGACAATTCTGATGCTGAAGTCCGGGAAAATTTGATGAATGAAGAGAAAGAAGCTTTCGTAGCTTCAAAAGAATTTGTGAAGGCGTCCCTCACTGCCCGCAGGGTGAGTCCGACAGAGTGACCATCGACAATAGCGTGATGCACAGTCCAGACCATGCTCGATGCTAGACCATTGGTATCATAGATGATGCCGTATCGATTGAGCGGAACCCCGAATTTTGACACCTTCTTCAGGTCAAAGTCTAGATATTCATCAAGATTGAAGCTTTCATTCCAACGCAGGGCCTCGCGTACGACAACTTGCTGGATGCCAGATGTCGATGTGTCTACCAGACGAGTGCGTAGGATGCCGTGTGATTTGGAAACTAGATTCCACGCGTTTTTCAAGCTTGCGACATCGACATCTGCCCCAAGCTGAAGCACATACTGGACCAGGAATGAATTGGCAGTTGTGGAAGACATGGCCATGAGACCCTCCTGTAGGGGTGTGCAGGGAAAAGCGTCTTCAATGTCCTCTATAATGATGGAACACTCCTCGGCAATCTCTGTAAGAGCCACAGATTCCCCATCTAGAAGTTCCATGGGTCGTGTAGTAATCATGGACTTCTTGGACTGGAGCAGGGGAAGCTGACAGAGGTCTCCCAAGATTGGATTCTTGAAGACTTGTGCGAATTCCAGCGCGAGGCCGCTTTTACGCGCAGCCGACACTAGCGATATCACGGCCATAGAATCTCCACCGAGGCGTAAGAAATTGCTGCTGGCCGATAGCATGCCCTCGGAGATTCCGAGAACGCCGGCCCAAAGACCGCGCATTACGTGTTGGAGCTCGGTATTCTCGTTCGCAGCTTCTTCAGTGTCATCCTCCAGGCCCAACTCAGAGAAACCATAGAACTGCTCTGGACGGAGGTCGTCAACTTCCCGGCGTAAACGCTTGAGATCAACCTTGCCATTGGTGGTGAGAGGCAGGCTAAAAAGAGGTATGTAGAGGGAGGGACACATCCAGGAGGGAAGAACGCTGGAAATCATAGCTTCAACCTTCGGTATCATCTTCCGAAGAGCTGTAATCTGTCTGGGCATGACGTATCTGCCATCGACGGAGTCACTCCCGGCGTTTCCTCGTTGGCAAATGAAGGCCACCAGCACTTTGGCGTTCTTTTTCGATCCATAACTTGGCCTCGTGACGACGTCCACAACAACACTCTGAGTCTTAAACGCTGAGCGCAGATGATATTCAACTTCGGAGGCTTCCAGCCGCTGTCCAGAGATCTTGAGCTGAGTGTCTTTGCGGCCTTCAAAGTGAATCACACCATTCTGGTCAAAGCGGCACAAGTCCCCTGTCCGATAAAGCCGTCCTCGTCGATTGTGTTGGCGAGCCAAGGAGGATCACGAACGAAGGCATTGTTAGGCCCTTCGCCCTCCTCAAAATTCAGGTAGCCCCTCGCCAGCTGGGGACCTTCAAGAACCAGCTCTCCAACGGCACCAAGAGGTGACAACCGAGTAGGGTCGTCTGGTACGACGATCCAGCAAAAGGTTCCAATCCCACGTCCTATAACTCCGGGGTTCCCATTGGATCGAACAAGGTGCATAGTCGAGAAGACAGTGTTCTCAGTAGGCCCAAATGCATTGATGAGACTGCGTCCGCGCCCCCATTTCTCGATATTATCTTGACCGACAGCTTCGCCGCCCAATAACAAGGTTGTCAGTCCGGGTAACTCGGACGGTTCAAGAAGTCGGATCACAGAAGGCGTAAAGAATGCCCAATTTACCCTCTTTAGCTTCATGACACTGGTGATTTCGTTCAATCTCTCGTCTTCAGACGGGATAACAATGCAGCCACCGAAGCTGAGAGTCGTGAGGATTTCGGCGATAGACGCGTCGAAGGTATGACGAGCGTATTGGATGACCCTCGTCTGTCTGTTGAATCCTGTGGCTTTTCCGTGGGCGGCGATACTGGAAGAGCAGGCGGCATTGTCAACCATCACCCCTTTTGGTTCTCCGGTGCTTCCGGAAGTGAACATGATGTAAGCCAGATCCCAAGGTCTTGGTGAAGGAAAGGGTGCAGTTGCAAGCCCAAATAGCTGCTGTGTTGATTGCTCTTCAACGCACAGAATGTTTCTCGATAGCGCACGTAAACGCTCGGTGTATGTCTTGGAGCTCAGCACAGTCTTTGGCTGAATCTTATCGAGGAGGTTTGAGATTCGGCCGTCCGGCTGGAATGGATCCAAGGGCACAAACGCACCGCCGGCTTTGAGAACAGCCACCGTTGCCACAATGTTCCATACACTCTTCTCGAATAATAGAGCAACCTTGGACTCGGCTCGGACGCCTCGCCTGACAAGCTCGTTGGCGATATTGCTTGACTTCTCGTCTAACTCTGCGTAAGACAGAGTACCATCCCACGCATCAACAGCTATGTTCAGAGGTGACCCATGAACATGACTTGCAATCATGTCTTGTACAGAGACTTTTTCATGATCCGAGTGGAGCTGGTTCCAGACATTGTATTGGTGATGGTCGCCTTCATCCAGGAGATCGAGATCACACAAATTGGCATTCGGCTGGGCGATGATGCTTTCGAGTGCATTGCGAAATGTTGATAGTATCTTTCTCGCACGCCAGTCTGAGTGGGTCGTCTCTGAATATTCGCATCGTACAAGAAGACTATGAGAGAGCGGATCTTGGCCCGCAGTAAAGGCCATGACTGTCTTTACAAATGTCAGCTAACGTTTTCACACTATGATAAGAAACAGCGGCAACTACATGAGGAAATTATGGCGATGGGGATGAGTAACGCAAGAGACCATGTTAGTTAGAAGGGCTTGGACTAACCTGCGGGTGTACGGTTTTCACAGCATGTAGAGACGGAAGGGCCTCTTGTGCCATGTCCAGGGGACATCCATCACGGAAGGACGATACAATGAGAGCATACTCTGTGAGATTGGCCTTCGAGATAGTCACAGAGTCGGCACTTGCAACCTTTGGCTTGCAGAGAAGTTCGAAGATGCGGCTCTTTGGGGACAAGGGAGTGTTCCAAAGTAACCACTTCTGATCCTCTCCTAAGAAGTTGATGGACTCAACTGATGCGTATGCCTTCAATGCTACGACACAAGCAAGCTGAATTATAGAGGCAGCTGAACAGTGTGCGTACTCTTGAAGGGCCTCAAATCTGTGGGAGCGGAACAGCAGAGTTTCGGCTGTTTTCGTTTCTGGGTATGAAGCGCGACCGTAGCTGGCCATCATGGTGCTTGTGTAATGATTTCTTCTCGGTAGAAAATGAAAGTGAACAAAGGATGATCCGTTCAATCGACACGAGCAATTCGGCCCACGGACATTCAAGTAGACTTTCTCGAGAAACAGAAGGGATGATATGTGGGCATCTTCGAGCTTCAAGTACTTTCCGGCGGTAGAGAGTATTTTGTGCTCGCCATACAAGCCAGTAGTCTAGATCTTGCAAAGAGCACCCGATTGAAGAAGTACCCTGAGAGTCCCATAAAGGTTTTCACCTTCTAGTTCACCGAAGCCTTCCACATACATGTAAGCAAGTGGCAATTGAATTTGCCAAATTCGTCGAGACTCCCCTACTGAATGGCTGCGCCAGAGGATCACAAAAGTTCGTTGAGGATCTGACGAGGGGCAAAGCAAAACCATGCGAACCTATCGTGAGCGTCAAAGGGGACCGAATCGTCTTACCTTCGATGAAGAGGGCATGGTCAGTAGTCCCATCTTCCTTGCAGTCACGCCCTTTCGTGTGACATGTCTTACCATATGGAGCCCCATCATGCCTCCATGTTAAAGTGTTTCGAGGTTTGCCTCATGTTGATTTGCAATCATCAGGTTTTCGTATCGTTGCCGAAGGCACCAATAATCCTTGCATCAGACCAGCATTAGTGATCCTGTCAAAAGTGCAATTCATTTCTACCTGCCCTTGAATCAAGAAACTTCATTCATCCTTGTTTAGATAAGGTGTGCCTGCATCGTGCTTGTGGATTCGCACTTGTCTGTGATGAGCCCTAAACGTACTATGTTTTTCGAGAACGCAATGCGATCTCACCAATGACGTGAAGTCGCGAAAACGTATTCATGCTAGTGGCTTCGCGGTTACGCTTTTATGGGATGAGAACCTAACACCCAGCTTCCTATTGCAGAAGTGTATGGCCCAGGGTGTGAGCTTGACCTAGCATGGCAGGCTGAAATTCTGCAAGCTAGGTCAAGCCACGGCTGGAAGGATTGTCGCCAAGAGTTGAGGATTTCGACTTCTCGAACCAATGACAGCCCTTGAAACAGCTACGAGGCTATTCACGGCCATTCTGAATGTGATATGTACAACATAGGATTTGGAATCAGACGCTGGTTCCGAGAATTTTGCCTCGGGCAAAGCTGCCTCGCTGACCCTGGCTTCGCAATTGTCGAATGGGATTGCAACCGGGCGTGGGGCCGATGTCAACTGGGCTGTGTATGATCCCTTACGTTCATCTTGGTAGTATCACCTATTAGTCTTAGTGTCGCAAGGCACTGAAGAGGCCCCAACTTCTCGCGTAAGTGTTTGAGATGACAAGGGGCGTAAATGATGAATTTCGTGTCTAATACCTTGGAATTGCCCGGGCTGCTGGCCACCTACTCACCAGGAGCTTTCTCAATCCCCTAATTTCTGACCACTTGACACCTTGGCTGACGTTGCTTACGAATCTCTGAGACACCTCGAAAGAGCTTGCTGCATCAGTCCGAGAATCTGACTGATACAGGCCTCTCGGCCTGCAAGACTAAAGAAAAGAGTGTGCTCATATACTTAGTTCATTTCTTGTCTACATCGTTCAAAACTTTGTCTCACACGCACCACATCATGGCGATATCGGAGCCCTCCAGAGCAATGACTTCAAGCGCCAAAGATGCAGTTCAGTCTTCAAGTTGCTCAGAGAAGCTTTCCATGGGAAAGTGGTCAAGCATATCCTCTGACGCGAAAGTGCCAGCGCTTCCCGTTTCCCTCGAAGTTAAGGAAGCCAAAGAAGCTGGCTACCAGGAAGATTCGGCCATCGAGTACCCAAGAGGCATTCGACTAGCCCTTATTATCCTAGGTCTTGCTATGGCTGTATTCTTGGTGTTTTTGGACATGACTCTGATTGCAACGGCCATTCCTGCAATCACAAATCAATTCAACTCACTTCAGCACGTCGGATGGTACGGTTCCGCGTACATGTTGAGCGTAAGTGGTGCTTCTTAGGTTGCCGCATTCAACACGGCTGACTTGCAACAGCTTTGTTCGTTTCAACTAGTCTACGGCAAATGCTACGAGCTGTTCTCTTTGAAGTTGACATTCATGGTGGCCATCGCCTTCCGAGAGGTCGGTCTAGCGGTTTGCGGAAGCGCACCCAACTCTATTGCCTTCATCATCGGTCGTGCCATTACCGGCATCGGCTGCAGTGGCATCATCATAGGTCCGAAGTTTCAATCTCTCTGGTTCTATCTCATCTCTCTCTCTCGTTCCACTCTCGTCGTTGGCTCATCTAACCATCATCGTCAAATCACAGGTACCTGGGTTGTTCTGGCACATTCCGTCCCAATCCGCCAACGGGCAGTGTACACTGGGTTCCTGGGCGCATTCTCAGGCGTTGGCGGCATCATCGGTCCTCTGATCTCAGGGGCCTTGACAGACAGTCATTTGTCCTGGCGATGGGCGTTCTATATTAGTATTCCTGTCGGTATCGCAACACTGGGATTGATTCAATTCTCTTTCAAACCTCCGGCCCAGATTATCTCTGGCGGCAACAGAAAGCTGTCTTCCAAAATCAAGGAATTCGACATAATTGGTCTCTCCGTTTTCTTCGCCTGCATGGTCTGTCTTCTATTGGCACTCCAGTGGGGCGGGTCGGAGTATCCGTGGAGTAGCGGTCCCATGATTGCACTCCTCGTGTTATTTGGGGTCATGCTGGTCGCTTTCGTCACTTCACAGATTTGGAAAGGTGACAAGGCCGCTTTACCACCTCGGCTTATGAAGCAGCGCAACGTTGCGTTTGCTTGCTTTTATGCCGCCTGTATCGACGCAGCTTACTATACTGCAGATATTTGGCTGCCAATATGGTTTCAGGCGATCAAGGGCAACTCGGCGAGAGAGTCTGGCATCAAGCTTGTGCCTTATGTTGGTGGAGAGGTACTTGCGGCGTTGGTTGCCGGATACCTGGTGACCCTCTTGGGATGGTATAACCCCTTTATGCTCTTTTCTACAGCCATCTCTTCGGTCGGCCTTGGACTTATGACCAGGTTCGAAGTTGACACGGGGCCAAGCGAATGGATCATTTATCCTATCATCGCAGGCATCGGGATTGGTGCAGGGACCCAACAACCCATGATGGGAGTGCAGTCCACTCTCGTTCTCGCGGATATCCCGGCTGGGACTGCCGCTGTCACTCTTTTTCAGAATCTCGGTCCAGCAGTCCTCATGTCGGTCGCAAATACAGTCTTTGTCAACAATTTGAAGCGGAATTTACACGGCCAGGGCGGACTCGACGGACAAGCTATTGCTGACATGGGAGCTACCAATCTGGAGGACATGATCTCGGTAGATCTACTTCCGGGGATCATCAGCGCGTACAACAAGGCACTCCAAGAAACCTTTCGTGTACCAATGGCAGTGGCAGTCATCTCCATCATTGGCGTATTAGGCATGAAGTGGGAGAAATTGCCGGCTTAAACATGATAGATTTCTCTCCATAGCAATGTCTCACAGGATCTCTCGCGTTATGAAGACGCAGGTTTAGAAGCGATGAAGCTCCGTTTCTATATACTGTCGTATCATCTCATCAAGCTCGTATTCCATCTTGTACAAGCTGAGTACCTTTGTCTTGGTTAAGCATCAAACTGCCAGGCACTGGCTGTTTTGTCTAGCAAACGTGGAAGAAATTGAATCGGGCGATCCTCATCACCATCTTTTACCACCACAGTGTATGTATTACGAAAGTCCTCGACGCAAAGGCCTGCTCTTGATGTGCGAATAATGTGGGCGCCATTCCACAATCCCGCGACGGCTGCTGGGGAGTTCGCAATAACACCCGACACGATGCGTGTATGAACACTGCTGCGGTCAAACCCGAACTCCATGAGTGGAAGGCGACACTCCTTGAGCTTCTGGGATCCGCCATCGAACGAAAGGCCTTCGAATTCAATGATATGCCGACCACGAAGCATACCTTCGTATTGTTGGGCAATGGGGAACTTGTCGCTTCCAAGATACTCTGTGAGGCTTTCAAGCCACTGTTGAGCCCGGACAATTTTTCCATTCCTGCATCTTCTTGAGAGGTCGATAATGATCTTGTCAAGAGGCCCGTTGCTCATGATGTCGTTTTGGCCGGTTTGCCTCCGAAGATAAAGATCGATGAACAGCAAGTAGGCAAAACCACGCTTATAAGATATCCATTCTCCATACCAGTCGTTGAACATAATCTCAGCGGCCTTACGTACGTCGACTGTGATTCTTGGGCTTGTGTAGTAGGCTTGAAGATGACCATTGAGACTTTTAATAAGAAAGTCCATCCCTCGGAAACTAAAACGGTACGGGAGAAACGAGCTGTAAAACTCGGCAACCCCTAGTTATCACGTAATACTTAGCAACCACCGTGATGAAAAATGAGAAGCGTGGGTAACACTAACCTTCGATGTACCACTCATTTTCATACCCATCCTCCTCGGGGTTGATGTCAACAAAGCTGTGTACCATCTCATGGGTGAACAGCAGAACCAGTGAATCGTCTGTTTCAGTCTTCGTTGCGTTTTCGTACTCCAAAACATAACTTCCTTCGAACCCGCTGCCTCCAAACCCGACCAGAGACTTGCGAATGAAGATCCGGTAAGATTCACCAGTCACGCCAAAGAAGGACGCCAGCTTTGGAAATAGGACGGTATTGTATGATTTGAGCCGCTCAAGGTTGGGCGGCAAGTCTCCGAACCAGTAGCAGGCAGCGAAACCATCATCACTTTCTGGAGAGACTTCCGGATAACGTTGGACTGGCCCAACCATGTAAACAGTGTTCCACAAGGTCTCAGCACGACCAACACGGACGAGAGGTTTGGTTCCTTCGCCATAGCTCCAAACACATCTCGTAGATTCCGGTGCATCAGCCGGGACTTTCCACTTGACCACATTCGTGAAGACTTGGTCGGACAATAACAGAGGTAGGAACCATTGACCCACGCCGTGGACACCGCCTTGGTCCTTGCGAAGATCGATACGCGCACCCAAGGGAGTCGTGACGTCGACATGGCGAGGAAAGACGTCAAATTCAAGTTTGATGTCGCCTTGGGTTTGTCTACTGAATGACCAATGTTGCTGGGTATTACGACCTTCCGAAGGTAGATCTCGAAATTGGATTTCGAGAGGCCCCGAGTTGTCCGTAGCCTTGATGTCGCGCTCGTGAAAAGGATGAGCTGGGATGTTGTCTTTGAAGGGAAAGAAAGAAAACGCGGGCTGATCAGGCTTGATCGCTTGAGTTTGAATTAGGAACAGCACGGAGAGGCTGCTAACACCATCAGCATCGAACTTGGGCGTCAGTTGGAGGGAAATGATTGGGTGCTGAGGGAGCTGCATGTTGACTTCGACTTCAAGACGTCTGGCTGCCAACGCAACAGAAAACTGTGTGGTGACCTTCGAGGATATAAGTTGGCAAGTCGCGCCGTTATGCTAGACTTTGTCGTCGTGGAAATTTACGCGGCCCACCCGAAAGAGGAAGCTGCAACACAAGCTGGTGGGGTCCTGGATAGCACGGCATCATAAAGTTAAATAATACACGCGTGTCATTTGACTTCGCGCGTTGCACCTATCATTTCTAACCCGAGCTGGTACTAGCCGTTTTAGTGCGTGCTGGGATCAGAGCTGGGGATAAGCTTGAATGTTGCCCAATTGCCCGTTGTAAGAGTTGTGTCTTGTTGATCCGACTCTACAAACAGACATAGCATTGAAGGTGTTTGAGATCGTGCCATACTCAGTAAACCTCAGATTCCAAATGATCTAAAGCCTCTGAGGTTTAGACTTGAATCATTGCCAGCAATTTTGTACCAGGAAGATAATAAACTGTATGTTACTGTTCTGGTGCAGCTCAGACCCTTGTCGCCGTACGTACCAGCCTACGCAATGCTCGGCGGGCAACAGCCGCCAAATGCAACATAGCGTACTTATGGACATTTGCAAACTTTGCATCGATTGCGTCGTCTAAGAGGCAAGCCTGAACTATGCTAACTGCCAATAAGTAATTTGCAAAAAGAAAAGACAGCGTTGTTACTCATATGAACGGCCGCACCTGATTCCTTCCACGATGACATCGGCATCACGTGCAATTAGACTGGTAACGAACGAGCGTCGCCTTTGCAACTTCTCTTCAATAGCTTCATTATTTATTATCCATACACGGAAGAAATACAATGGGAAACAGGCAGACTCTACCTATGGACTGACAAAAAGATCAGAAACGACTGGTCTAACCCGGGGACCACGGCCATCTGGTATGACCGTTCCCCGGGAAGCCTATCGCTTTTCTATCAAGTCAGCCTTACTCTCGAGCGACTATCAACTGTCTTTTTGAGAAAATTGGAGAATATGAATAAGGTACACTCGGAACCACATGGGCTCGCGAATTGTCCGCATTGGATTTGCGGAGGGAGATCCTGAGGTAGTCAGCCAAAATGCGAGTGCCCGCAGATTGCCTCTTGCAATTTGTTAACAATTTTGAAGTCCATATAAGATGAACATACGTATAAAAATGCATTGGCGTCTCGATCTCTCAGATAAATGATCCAAAAGACGCTCGAGCTTACGCCTTGATACATCAACCAACACTGATAGATGGCTATGTGGTCACGCAACCCAAGTTTGACCCTTCAAAGAGCTCAAAATTCAAAATTGCTTGAGACTCATGGCTCCTGGCTTAAAATAGTATGCGATATCCTCCCTTAGTGAAGATTCTAGCTTTGCTGGTCATCTTATCTCTGGCTTAAACAACACATTTCCATCAGTCATTCGTTTGATGATATTTATGTTTCTCATCTGCTTTTCCTACCAACGCAATTGGACGGCCAAAAAAAAAAAAAAGGACTTTTGCTATCCGGGCAGTGTTATTCAGCTATCTAAGCAGTATTCATACACACGTAAATCCGTAGCTTATTTCTAAAGCGACTACATTTCCTATTCTCGCTTTTATCGTTACTATTATCTATTACTATAGTCTATGATTATTACTATTATTATCTTTACTATCGTCGTCTCTTATTGTCGTCGTCGTCGTTATTGTCGTCGTCTTTATCGTTATTATTATCTTTATTACTACTTCCATCGTTCTCTCTATAATCACGAATTGTAGGGGATACTGCCCAGATAGCTAACTAACACTGCCCGACTAGCAACACTCAAAAAGAAATGCTTCCGTAAATCATGGCGTTGGCGGGCTGGAGGAGCAAGCGGTGAGGCTACTCTGAGTTCAGCAAATAAGTGAAACACTCGATCTCAACATCATGGGTCCACTCCAGTCTGGAGAGCATGCCATATCGGGTTATCTTCCCCCATGCACGATTGGTCGATATACCCCGACAGCATACGGAGGGGGCACGCCGTGGGTGGGCAACTAGACTACAGGGGCTCGAACTGCCTACCTCAGGGGTGTGTCTTGAGTGGATCGCGTAGCATATATAAGTCCTCAAAGATGAACGTTGATCTGGTTCATCACTTTTTCTACGCCTCAAATCACCTTGTACCACTCATTATGGCTCCTCCGTTTCGCTCCGAGCAGGTCGGATCCCTGATCCGCCCGGCCTCCCTCTTAGAGTCGCAATCCTCCATGGGCTTTTACTCAGACAAATTATCCAAGAACCAGGCTGCGGCAACAGCATCCGCCATTGCGTACGCAGCCAAGAAGCAGCTGGAACTGTCGATTCGACCCATTACCTCTGGCGAGTATGAGCGCACTATCTTCTTCAGCGGCTTCTTCGAGAACCTCCAGGGCATGGAGGTCCGCCAAGATCTTAGAATTCCGCAAGACTTCCGAACTGGGCTGCCCAACATTACTGGCATCGCTAAGATGGGTCTGAATCACTTCGCTGCTGTCATTGCTACTGGCAAGATCAAACACGCCACCTCGGCTTACTTGCCCGCATGGGAGATGATCAAGAGGGCCGTGCCCCAGGAGCACTGGAAAGACTGCAAGATGGCCATTCCCTCGATATTGTGGCAGCATATGTACCTAGTTAGGGGCACAGCGTTTTCCCCTGGCGTGTACTCTTCTGATCGGGAATATTTCCTAGATCTAGCGAAGGCTTATCGCGCCGAGCTAATGACCCTGTATGACGCGGGCTTGAGGTCAGTCCAGATTGACGACCCTAACCTGACTTTCTTCATTGTGGAGGACTTCCGGGAAGGCCTGCGAGGAGACGGTATTGACCCGGATTCCCTGCTGGATCTGTACATTTGGGCGCACAACGAGGCCATCAAGAACCTCCCAACGGACTTGCATGTCGGCGTCCACCTCTGCCGCGGGAACATTCCCGGGGGCCCATCCTTTGCCGAGGGATCATACGAGAAGATTGCTATTCAGGTCTTTCCCAAGCTGAATTATGCCACATTCTACTTGGAGTTCGACGACCCTCGCATCTCTGGGCACTTTGAACCGCTGAGATTTGTCCCCCGAGGGAAGAACGTGGTCCTCGGCTTAG